TTTGGTGAGCCCGGGCTGGATTCGAACCCACCACCTTAGGTGTATGTGGCTGGCGCCTTAGCCACTTGAGCCACAGGCGCCGAGCCAGATCTTTAATTTCTCTTTATGAAATCTTAATTTCATCATCCGCTTATATGTGAAGAGGCTGAAAACATTTTTCAGAACTTAAGTTATAAATATAGTCTTTTCCTTGGTTACCTTCAGCTAAACTATGAGTATAGCTACTAAACCATTCCAGACTGGAAATTTTCCTTCTGGTGTTTCAAGTTGTCTTCTTCATAGTCTAGCAAAAAGCACTTGTAGTAACAACTATGACATCTTGAATACTATGTGCCAGTCACTCTTCTTAGCCCTTTGTGTATATTATATATAAGTCATCACAGCAACAGGCTGAGAGAGTTTAGGGGACTTGCTAAAAGTGACATAACTATTGAATGTTATAGCCAGGGTCAGACCCTGGAATGTTACTCTGGAACCTATTCTCTTAATAGTGACACAGCCTTGTAGTCCTCATTTCCCAGAGCCATTTGTACACATCGTTTTTGAATTTCATTTTCTCAGAAGTGGCCAATAGCTGTGTTGCCTTAGAAACTGGAGCTCATTGTTTAGGGTATAAATTGTGTTTTGTATTAAGTTGCCTGAGGTTTCAAAGGAGAACTTACCCTTCTGAAACCATAGTTTCTGTTCAGCTCTGATTTCCTATTTACCAAATGCTCTTTTCGTTGTGGAAGTAAGCAAGGGGCAAAGTTAGTTTGACTTTCAGGGTTTTTTTTTTTTTAATCTAAATTAGAAGTTTAGCAGCAGAAGAATCAAGCAAATAAGAGCTTATTTGTACTTAGGAGAAGAATCTGCTTTCTTGGTAATACTAAAGTTAACAGGAAATGCATTTCCTGCTTCCTTGATGGTACCACATAAAAATGGTTCTTTCTCCAATTCTAATCTAGACAAAAAGATGGCTTAGCAGCCTGGAAACTTAGACACCCTCAGTCCTTAAGTGAAATGTAGTGGGTGGCTTTATACTAGATTAACTTTTTTTTTCTTTTTTGGCCTTAATATATAATAATAATGAGGAAATCTCAAAAGTTCAAATTTACCTGTACCATTTACTATATGTTCCAACTGATATCTAGCAGGGAATATTATTAGGGACCAATAACGTTCTCGTCTAGTGTCCTCTTTCTTACAGTGAATTAATCTACCTGGAAAGGTGTGATTTCAGCCTCTAAAGTCTAGATGCCATTTCCCATCTTAGTGTTGAGTAAGAAGAAAGATACAGGTTAAGAATTCACATTTCTTAAGGATTGATGAGGAGCTGGAAAGGCTGAGTAGTTTGAACAGACGTGGAACAAGTTGGTTATTGATTTCTTTTCTGCTTCTCTCTTGTGCCTTTCATTCCATTTCCCATCCTTCCCCTCTACCCCCCGCCCCCATTCCCATCCCACTTACATTTCCAACCAGGTATATCTTTGCAAAGAATCTTTTTGAAAATGGTTCCCTCTCGGACATCGAATGGCATATCTATCAGGACTGGCATTCTTTTCTCCTGCAGGAGTTTGCTAGCCGGCTCAAATTACATGGCTTCATCTACCTCCAGGCTACTCCTCAGGTAATGCAGAACCTAAAGCCTTAGACTTTAGGGCCCTATGAAACCTAAGAGGTGGCATTCTCCAAGCCCCTGATTTTCTGCTTGGAGAAATTAGAGTTCAGGCATTGGGCAGTGCCTGTGGCTCAATGCGTAGGGAGCCAGCCCCATATACCAAGGGTGGCAGGTTCAAACCTGGCCCTGGCCAAACTGCAACACACACACACACACACAAATATATAGCCAGGCGTTGTGGGCACCTGTAATCCCAGCTACTTGGGAGGCTGAAGCAAGAGAATCACCTAAGCCCAAGAGCTGGAGGTTGCTGTGAGCTATGATGCCACAGCTCTCTACCAAGGGGCAACAAAGTAAAACTCTGTCTCTGAAAAAAACAAATAGAGTGCAGGCATTATGTAGTGCATGGAGAGCAGTGGGTGAACACCCTCCCATCCTGCTGTTGAGCACCCTGCTTCCCTTAGGCTTTGTGCAGCAGGGTGCTAAGGCAATTGACTGTGCATGGAAGAGTCCCTCTTGATGTAGCAACAACACGGAGCAAATTGGCATTATCCTTATTGCTCAGGGTTTGTAGGTTGAACACTCTGACCTGTAGCCAGTTGCCTCAGCTCCTCCTTCTCTCTTATGGGGTCATCAGCATCCACAGTGGCCTTGATGGTTTCCTGGACAGGATATGGGGAGGAAGAGAAGGAAGGTTTTTTCACCTCATCCTTATACTGGTCCAATTTATAACTCTTTTTTGAACCTCGATACTACGGGCAAGGCAGGATGAACTACATAAGTTGTACTTTGTGACTCTTTGACTTGGATTTCAGAGCTAGCCCGCACATGGTCGGATGGTGTCATGGCAGGAACACTGAAGTTTCTAGAGAGAGCAATGTCCTTGGCCTCTGCCGACTGGCAGTGACCTTGGTCAGCCCTGGGAAACCTTTTCACTGGAAGTGTCCTCATCTGTAAAATCCACTGACTTAGACAAGATGATCTCTAAGGGGTTTTGTGGAATGGGATTCTGAGTCAACACAAGAGGTATTTTTTGAGAGATTGTATTGCTCTCAGCTTTTGAGACATATCTCCAATATATAGTCAAATGTCAGATATACTACATTATGTTAGAAGGGAAAGCTGTCTTCAGGCTAAAGGCCAGGCTTTTTAGAGATGGGACTGAGGCTCACTTGTGGGCAGAAGGGGGCCTGAGAGCAGACTGAGTAGAGTCAGAGGAAGCGTGAGAGAGTCCTCATCACACAGACTGGGAACACGGGCCTTGCCTCAGAGGCCCTTGATTGTGACTGGGACCACACATTGGGGTCTTTGTGTCAGGAGTTTCTGAAGATGATAAAGTAAAAGTTGGACTATAGGAGAGAATAAGAGATAGTACAGAAATAAATAGGATCTAAGGTTTAAAATGAAACTGAATTGAAGAGTCAGTGAGGCCAGAGAGCTGAGAACCCTCCATGAAAGGAACCAAGCTGGCAGGGTAGGGTGGTAAAAAGTGGTAATTCTAGTACTTTGGGAAGCCAAAGCAGGAGGATCATGTGAGCCCAGAAACCTGAGGTTACGGTGAGCTATCATGATGCCACTGCACTCTAGTCTAGGCAATGGAGTGAGACCCTGTCTCAGAACAAAACAAAAAACAGCATCAAAATGAAGTTAGATATATTGATTATAACTTGACCAGGTGGGTCACTTTTAGTAGTCTAAATGTGACTTCCATTAGTAGTCTTCATTGCCTGGGAACAGGAATAGAACATGCAAATTATGCAGGTGATTATACTTTAGGGGTAGGGATTGGTGTCAGTGATGGGAGAAGAGGAGTCCCTTCTTGAAGAGGACAGCTCGAAGTAGCTGAGTGTAGGGTTCAGGGTGAAAGAGAAGTCCTGACCCCCATGAGGGCTCATGGCACTGGCCAAGAAGGTATGAGAGTGGAGTGCTGTGGAGTTGTGCTGAGTGAAGATTTGGTTGGACTCTGAGGAGGTGATAGGTTTCCTGTAGGGGTTGTGGGTAAGCTGGTCTGAAAGAAGCAGGAGGTTGAGCATTAGGAGAAATTAGAGTGCTGACCTAAACTTTTCCAAGAGACAGAAATTCAGCACAGTCAACTTGGTGCCATGAAGACAGTGTTGGGAAGGAGCAAAGGAGGAAGTGGACTGACTCATTCCTGGGAGTGAAGCAGGCTGCTTGGCCAGCTGCAGAGACTCTTGTTTCTGGGGAGTGGAGGTTGGACTGGACACTGAGATGCACCAAGGAGAACAAGAAATTCTCCCTCACTTTGCTCCTTTGTATATTCTGAATGACCTTGTGGGAAGGGGGTAAGGGTGGTGTCTTAGTCCATTTTCTGTTGCTATTGAGACTAGATAATTTATCAAGAAAAGAAGATTAGGCTCGGTGCCTGTGGCTCAAGTGGCTAAGGCGCCAGTCACATACACCTAAGGTGGCGAGTTCGAATCCAGCCCGGGCCTGCCAAACAACGATGGCTGCAACTAAAAAAAATAGCCAGGTGTTGTGGCAGGCGCCTGTGGTCCCAGCTACTTGGGAGGTGGAGGCAGGAGACTTGCTTGAGCCCAGGAGTTGGAGGTTATTGTGAGCTGTGATGCCACGGTACTCTACCCAGGAGGACAGCTTGAGGCTCTGGCTCCAAAAAAAAAAAAAGATTAGGCCTCACCCATAGCTCAGACAGCAGGGCACTGGCCATATACACTGAGGGTGGTAGGTTCTGACCTAGCCTGGGCCACCTAAAGCAACAATGACAAGTGCAACAAAAAAAACAGCCAGGTGTTGTGGCAGGTACCTGTAGTCCCAGCTACTTGGGAGGCTGAGGCATGAGAATTGCTTAAGCCCAGGAGTTTGAGGTTGCTGTGAGCTGTGACACCATGGCACTCTACCCAGGGCAATAGCTTAAGACTTTGTCTCAAAAAAATAAATAAATAAAAATTAAAAAAAGAAAAGTTTTTTTTGGCTCATAAGTTCTGGAGTCTGGGAAGTCCAAGATTGGGCAGCCATATCTGGTCAGCTCCTGGTAAGGGCCTTGTGCTGCATCATAACATAGTGGAGAAGTAGAAGTGGAATTGGATACATACAAAAGTATAAGCTATGAAGGGTAGCCTGCTAACACAGTCCTTTGAGAATTAACCCAGTCCCCAAAGTGACACTAATCCTTCTCAATGACCTAATCACTTCTTAAAGGCACCACCTCCCAACACCACTACACTAGGGACCAAATTTCTAATACATGAATTCTGGGGTACACAAACCATAGCAGATGGAGATGGTGATTATTTATTATTGTTTATCATTTTTAAAAGGCTAATGAAGTATTTCTGTTGGGGTAGCATGAGAGAAGTTGAAGGATTATTGCAACTTAAAGGCAGAAAAGAAAAATAGCTTATTCATTTTAGAATTGGATGGAGATTTTAGTGCTATTTTGATAGTATTAAATCCAGGAACCCTGGAATACTCAATATTCCTTCCATGAAATCACCCTTGACCTCTTCTGTGAAATTCAGAGGTGACTGTGCTCAAAGGAAGAGCAGAAGTTAAAATATTTGCTTGTAAAAAATTGTGTGAGTGTCCAGTAGTCTAATGTAAAACTGAATTTGGAGAATGTAAGATGGTCCTCAATAGGACCTTCCACTCCTTCCCACCCATTCTTCTCTGACTTCTAAAAAGCTAGCAAGCCAGGCATAGTGGTCACACCTGTAATCCCAGCACTCTGGGAGGCTGAGACAGGTAGATTCCCTGAGCTCACAAGTTCGAGACCAGCCTGTGCCAGAGTAAGACCTCATCTCTAAAAATGGCCGGGCGTCATGGTGGGCCAGCTGATAGTCCCAGCTACTTGGGAGGCTGAGGCAAGAGAATCGCTTGAGCCCAAGAATTAGAGATTACTGTGAGCTGTGATGCCACAGCACTCTACCAAGGGCAACAAAGTGAGACTCTGCCTAAAAAAAAAAAAAAAAACTAGGCCTTGCCTAGGACTGTCACAGCATAGAGACAGCATGCAGAGGCACCGGAACAAATGGCACCTGGGTTTGGGGCTTGGAGGTATAGTAGCAGTCACTGTCCAGTTCCTGTCCTGTCTCACTCCAACAATCAGAACCACAGCTTTGCTTCCTGGGTGGGGCAGGTTAAGGAGAAGATTGGAGAGGGTCCCTCTCCTGCCATTTGTAACTACACTGTCTTTCCTGTTCCTGTTTCAGGTGTGTTTTCCCAGTGAAGACTGAGGTGAAGAAAAGCTAGACTCAAGCACTGTTTGCACAGGATTTTTTTTTAAGTTGTTATAAATATATCAGTAAAGCAAGAATTATGCCAAATGCTCAAAATAGGAGTTTTCTTAGACATCTGGGGAAAAACGTTTACTCTGTTAAGCAAATTAATAGTAAAAAGGGAGGGCGGCGCCTGTGGTTCAGTGGGCAGGGCGCCAGCCCCATATACCGAGAGTGGAAGGTTTGAATCTGGCCCTGGCTAGCTAAACAGCAGTGGCAACTGCAACAAAAAATAGCCAAGCGTTGTGGCAGGCGCCTGTAGTCTAGCTACTCAGGAGGCTGAGGCAAGAGAATCACTTAAGCCCAAGAGTTTGAGGTTGCTGTGAGCTGTGATGCTAC